GTTTAATATCTCCAAAACTATAACAGCACAAACGCTCATTTTAACTGCACAAACCTGCACAAACGAAGCACTAACCAATCCGCTTACTTGTTTAGATTTTTTGTGTGGGTGGGGTGTCAGCTTCACACAGCTAATGATTGGTTCAGACACGCTCCGTTGTGAGTCTGGAGGTTGACAGGTGCTGACTGACAGCTGCTCACGTGAACAGATTGTCTGTAATTTACACAGATTTTCCCTCATTTTGCAGATTTACAGACGTTTAGAGTAATCTAATGGTTTTTATCAAAAACTCAGCTTCCTTGCAGAGCCTGCAGGACAATAAAAACAATAAATAAAATAAAACAAGTCAGATAAACTTAGAAATAATTTCACCAGTTGTCTCCCCCTCCTCTGTTATCTGTGGCAGACCCCCCCCCCCCCACCACCCGTGCGTAACAAATATGGACTTTAAAAAATGAAGTTTTATAACATCCACACTGGCGTTGGGTGCGCCCTGCAAGTACCCAAAGCCTGACTTTTGCTGTCGTTCTGTTGAAATGTCTCTTGTCGGAGAGGGCTCTGTGGGTCAGGGAGGGCTCTGTGGGTCAGGGAGGGGTCTGTGGGTCAGGGTCGTCTGACGAGGAAGGAGATGAATGGATGCGTGAACTTTTATTTAAGATTTAAGTTTTTTATTTCAAAGGTCCTCATGGCTCAGCAGCAGCAGAAGCATAAATATTGCTGTTAATAAAGCTGATGATTTGTTGAATAAAAATCTAAGTCTGATTCTGAAGGTAAATTAAATATCTGACAGTGATCATTACAGTGTGGTTCTAATTCCTCACTTCACCATCTGTGTCGCAGTTTCCCGTCTCCAACATGAGCGTACGCATGGGTCAGAGCTGCTGAGGGACCACACATTTTCACGTCAAGTTTGGATTTTATAAATCACAACCTTGGCGTGAAAAGTGGTGTACGCAAGTTTCTGGGCTCATATTGTGCGTACGCCAGTTTTATAAATCCGACCCCTGGTACCTACTGTCCAATTTCCTGTGTACATACCAGGTACATACTGTCTCATTCCATTTGCTGGCTTTAAATTTTTTGTCAGTTTTTTTACTTTGTCTTTTAGCTTTTGTTCAGCTATTTATAGCTTTAAATGACTTGACTTTTAGCTTCTGTTAATTTGATTTTTTAGCTTTAAGTTAATTTTTGCTTTTGTCCTGATTAACTTGAACAGTTTATTTTATATTTCTTCAAACAACCAAACACTTGTGAACTGGAGTACTTGTGAAGATCTGTCCCTTTACAGCGGGTAAAATAAGTATTGAACACGCCACCATTTTTCTCAGTAAATATATTACTAGAGGTGCTAATGACATGAAATTTTCACCAGATGTTGG